GACAGCAGGTTGAAAGTGGCCGTTGGCTTTTTGAAAGTACAGCCACTGATTGGTCAGCAGACAACACGCCACACGGCATGATTTGCATAAAACTATGGTATGGAAATCACAGATGTGTATAACGTTACGGCTGGTGATCGCTAATTGGTCGGCCGGGGATCACGCCACATCACATATGCATAGTGCTATGGTTCAGTAAGCACTAATTGGTCATGGAGCCCGATGTCGACGCTATAAAAAGGTTAAGTTGAAGCGAGAGTGGGAAGTCCACTCCAGCACGGGGACTTCGTGAGTCTACTGATGAGGCCTGATTGTAAGGCTCATCAATGGCCTAGCCTGGTCTTAGGACCGGGCGATGATGGCAATTTTTTGCAACTGGTCGCTGCTTGCTTGACACTTGAGATGGGGGACTTCTCTCCCTTCCATTAAGGGTGCTGTATAGGAGTCGTCGTACCGGATGCCAGATCGGTTTTACCGGTTGAGGCGTTCAATAAACTTTATCGACGTCGGTTCTATTTAAGTTCAGTTCGACACCTCTGGATATACGTCACTCTCGTCTAAGATCGACTTGGGAATTTTTTTGTTCAATAATAAACGTGAATTCTTCCTGGAAAAAAATAAGACATTCCCTGAAAATAAGACCTAGCGCATTTTTCAGAGCAAAAATTAATATAAGACAATGTCTTATTTTCGGGGAAACACGGTAGTAAAATAATTTTAATATTAATAATAATAATTTAGTAACATAAATTTATTCATAGTAAAATGTACTCGCGGGCCGTAAAAATTATTTGGAGGGCCGTATATGGCCCGCGGGTCGCCAGTTGGACAGTGCTGGTATATAGTATATAAATTTATATAGTATATATTATATTATATAGTATATAGTATATAAATTTCAATAAGTAAAACTTATTAAAATTTGCCTACTTCTTGTTAAAAATTATTGCAGAAAGAAGAATAAAGATTATAATCTAAATATATTTTAACTTGCAGATGATCTTGTGCTTCTTACTTTGGTGCCCTATACAGTCTTATGGCTTGATTGTTTCTAGAGCCCACCCTGTATACATAGTATATACTTTTGGTATTTTCATACACACATTATAATCAGTGAGAAAAAATAATTTCAAAAGTACAGGAAAATAATTATTTAATCTTCTTCATTTACTATAAAAATAAAAGTTTAATAATATAAAATTATACACAAAATAAAATATTTTATTTATATATAAAATCAATTTTAGCTGAAATGAAATCTTATGATTTTGTAAAAGTTAATTTAAATGTTATTTGCTTTCCTAGTTATTTATATACAACGATTGCAAAAATTTGTCGACAACAGAATTGAAATATGTTAATAAATAAAAACTCAAATTTTAAATTGTTTCCATGATTCTTCAGCTGGATCAAACAGATATTTTTTGTATATTTTTCCAAACAAAAATAAATTTGGCATTGAAAACTTTACAGTAATCTGTTACCAAATACAATATAAAGAAAGCAAAAACTGTTATAAAATTAATTCTAACTGTTTATAATTTTGAATATATATAAGATTATTTTGATTTGCTTTATTCTAATTAATTATTAAATTTGAATTGATATAAATATGTAACTCAAAATGCAATGAAAATTGATATATCAAAAAATTTGCAATTTTTATAAACTTTGTATATTTCTATTAGTTTTAATTGTTTTTATAGTTGACTACATCTATAACACTATACTTATGGAAGTCAAAATCATGTATAAACACAGTGTTTGTGTCATCTGTGCCATAAAATTTTTTATGGCATGGCTTTATGGCATAGGTGACACACACACACTGTGTTTATACAGTAGTACCTCAGGATATGAAATTAATCCGTTCCGAAACTGAGATCGTATCATGAAAATGTCATAAGGTGGATCATCTTTTCCCATACGATTACATGTAAAACCAAATAATTCGTTCCAACGCGAAAAACATACTCAAATTAAAGCCAAGTAATACATTTAAAAAAATAACTGTAGTAAGAAAAACAAATGAAAAATGCGAACTAATGTAACGTCNATAGACCCCCTTGCTCTCCTCTTGCTATGCTAGTGGATATATATACTACCACTAGTTGGATATATATACTACCATATAGACCTTACATATTGTGTTTGTATAAGTTATATATGTACACAATACACACATGTATACAATAGAACCCCAATTATTCCAGATAATGTGAACTCATAAAATAAATGACCATGGTAATTTTGAATTAAAAATTACAAATATAAAAGAAAAGATTTACATGCTATCATTTTTAAACCTTTTCTTTATACCTCAGTGTATTTAATCACGTATAAGAACAATAATTTTTACTTCATTTATTGTATAGCTATCATGTACAAAAGATTTTAGAACAAAAGTGTGTATTATCGTAGTTACGCTTTAATATGAATGATTCATTTTGTTTTGAAGTTAAATGCTAAAAAATAATTCAAACAAATAATTTTTTAATATCTGTTATTGTCATAAATGTTCTTTTATGAAAAATTGTATAAGAAAACTAGTGTATACAGGTCTGTCTTGGATAATATAGAACAGTGTTTCACAGCCTCTAACAAATTGTCACCCCCTTCAACATAGTATCGTCCCCTTCAATAAAACCATTATGTAGTATCACTTTTTCACTGCAAAATTGCGATGCCGAGGGCCAAGACTAACGATAAGTTCGTACTGCATCGAATAGAATAGTGACTAGTACATATAATGTTATTTGTTTATTTATTGTAGGATGTAATGAATAAAATATCTAATTATTCTTAATATAATGTTTTACTATATCGCCCAGAAAATTGTTTTTCGCCCCATAAAATATAAATTGTTACTAATCGCCCCCTCAACATGGAAAAACGCCCACGTGGGGGCGATATCGCCCCCGTTGAGAAACACTGCTCTAGAGATAAGCTCTGCCACCAGGGCGGCGTATCAGCGACTCGGGCCTAGAAAGCCTATAATGAGTGGTGGTGCGAATAGCTGCCGCCATTTCTTTTCCAAACTAATTATTTAGCCGCAGTTACGTACTACACTTGGAGAAACAAACATAATCTACAACTTATTTAAATGGAAATTCGGACAGAAGAAAACAAATGCCGTTTTCGATTTTTACAATTAATTTTTACTATTATTATTTGTCAAGGAAATTCCACATAGTATATTAAACAAATTTAATATACTATGTGGAGTTTGTTTATGATGAACATTTATCGGACGCGACGAGTAATTAGCCAATTTTTTTTTTTAATATCCTGAATGTTAATTACTTTTGAATACCGTCTTTTCGCGGAATGAGCGGCATTCCGCATAAAAACGGGAGACCAGCGTGCCAGGAACCCCGGGGTTTTCGGTATGCCGCTCATTTCGCGAAAAGTAATTAAGTTTGAATACAATTTTTAATTTCATGGAAATAATGTTGATTGATAGTAATAATCAATACAACATAATTTCGATAATTGCTTTAACTGGTTTGATCAAATGATTGTTATTTTAATCATCATACGTGATCAAGACTAGGATAATGAATTACGTAACAAATAATTTTATTCAATTTTTCTCTCAAACTTATAATACTGCATAATTAATACAGCAATTTTAAAATTTAAAAATAACAATTGATATTATTGTATGCTTGTATATTTTGTGTGCTATAATTTTGGGGAAAATTTTGAATCCTGAAAATATTCTGCTTTCCCTTTTCATAAGTTGCATTGTACCACAATACTTCTTGCTGCCTGCAGACAGCTACACTTGGTCAGTCATGCAAAATCAACAAGGCAACCAAGGAAACGAATTCTCCGACTTTTTCGGAACACTAACGTAAATCCCCGACTGTCCAGGTGCGTTGGAACCCTGTATTTATTTATAAATATATTACAGATGATGCCGTACAGAAAGAAAAAATAAAAGTTAAGCCTATTTCAAAAACTTTAAAACATATATAATAATATTTACGAACTCTTGGGTAAATTTCTTTCGTAAAGTATTCAAATGCAGAATCTGTCGTTTCGTTATTTATTATTAAAATTTCTCTTTTATTATTGTTTCCCATTACGATATTCAGAATTTGCTGAACACTGCATAAAACATTACATTTGCCTCGATGTTTGACAACAACCAACCATAGTAAACCACGTGTTCGTACATAAGAAATTGGCGCTGCTGTTATTTTAAAAATGTAACAATTTTACCATAATTNTAATAAAGAAGATAAAAAAATACAAGGGAATCATTTGGAGATTGCAGGAGTGTTTTATAAAATGTTACGTACATATCCTAGCCCAAAATGCTACATAGGAGAAACAGGAAGAACACTGGAAAAAGGTTAAAAGAACATGAGGTGGCAGTATGATTAAAAAAACAAGAATCACCTTGGTACCAGCATTGTAATATTTTTAATTGCAAAATTAATTGAATGTAAAAATTTTGTATAAAGTTAAAAACTTGGTAAAAAGACACATTATTGAACATTACTGTATACTGAGTTATACAAATGTAATAAATTTGAATACAAGTATGGTTGTAGATGCATGCTGGGATGATACAGTATAATAAAAGAACTTTTGTTAAGTGATGGTTGTATCCACTGATGAGGCCAGTGAAAGGCAAAATGCATATGGATAAAAACATAAAAATAAATGCTTAGTATTTGAATATTGTTAGCATTTATAATACTAAGCATTATAAATGCTTATTATTTACTAATTTTTCTAAGGATATTTTATTTTTAAATTTATATTTTTTAAGAATTACTGTAACCAATCCCATTGCTTTTAAATTTTGTTTTTAATATATATTAATTTAGAAGTCTAAATAACATGTTTATTCAACTGCCATAACTACATTTTTGAACAGATGTTCTTAAAGGTTAATTATTTTCATAATAACAGAATATAAATTAAAATAAGGTTTCCATATCTGGTCTCATCTTTCAACTATCTAACTCCATTCTCAAGATTAAGGAAAGATGGACGGACAACAGTGGGAATTTATAGGTCTACAATTTTTTCAAGTTGCAGCCCATTATTTAAAAAATATTTTAGCCTTAAACCCACTGTCTAATAAATTAAACATTACAAAGCATGGATACACCAAACACAACAAAATCAGATTTTATTTATAGTTTTATTTACCTCTTACATTATTTATTTCACATTTTGTTTCAGTTATTTTGGGAGTTCAGTTATGTTAAACCTCAACTATCTAATTTATAAATTTAAACTAAATGGAAATCTAGTTTAGACTTATAAATTTATTTTTAACATTGTAATTTATTTAAAACAATGAAAATGACAAAATACAAACAAAAATTCTTTACAGAAAACATTTAATAGTTACAATATAATAAAATAACTTGCAATTGAAATATACTAACCTATATATGAAATTTTTTTGAATAAAATCCATTCTTTCTTGTGTTGAAACATGAACTTTCACAATATGTTCTCCCAACTGTTTTGATAAATAATCTGGTGTCCATTTATTGATGCATGAACCAATAGAAAACTTTCGAAGAATTACAGGAATTCTCTGAAATATACTCTTTCATGTAAAAAATGTATAAAAATTAAAGAAAAATTAATTAATTTTAAGTAAGAAATTTTAATTTCATTAATTTATTACATAATGATAAATTTTATTGTTTTACTAATAGGTAATTTATTACAAATATACAGTGCTCCAGCCTTACCAGCACTTTGTATAAGAATTTTTGGTATGCCTTTCAAATTCTAATTGTATATAAATTTTAATAAGTAAAACTTATTAAAATTTATAATTTTATATAGTATATAGCAGCGCTGTCCAACTTATCATAGCCCGCGGGCCATATTTTCTTCACAAACGTTTCGGGGGCCAAGAAGGTTGATAAACCACATGACATTTGCGTCTAAGTTCGACTCGGGAATTTTTTTGTTCAATAATAAATGTGAATTCTTCTTCCTGGAAAAAAATAAGACATTCCCTGAAAATAAGATCTAGCACATTTTTCAGAGCAAAAATTAATATAAGACACTGTCTTATTTTCGGGGAAACACGGTAGTAAAATAATTTTAATATTAATAATAATAATTTAGTAACATAAATTTATTCATAGTAAAATGTACTCGCGGGCCGTAAAAATTATTTGGCGGGCCGNTCGCTTTTAAGGGAATCGTCCAGCTGAGATGAAATCCCGTGTGATACATACTTCTATGTTGACCCCCTCCAGAAAAACCAGAGTGCCTGAGCAAAAGGCAAAATTGCTTTGTCTCTGCCAACCATTAGGCTTAAATGACATTAGTGTAAGTAGTGCCTACATATTCTCAGAAGATTACTAAAATATGTCAAAAATTACTAAATTCCTTTTCTGCTACTGTGCCAATTAAGTGATTAAATTATGTATTAATTTATTAGTTTGGTTTCTGTTATTTGAGATTTGGCCCAATAAAGCAGCTGTCCTGATTAACCGATGGCCCAATTAAACAGAATAGACTATATTAAAAATTATCTTAACATTAATAAATCTTGAAATTATTAAATTAAGTTGAATAATTTTATATGACAATATTTTCAATGATATTCAAGATTTAATGTTAATGACAAAATATCAAATAACTTCCCTTTATAAACTTACAACATGCAAATGTTTTTATCATTTTTATTTAAAAAGAATTATTTATCAATAACATTAATGGATTGTATATTTATAAAAGCAAGTTATTTAAATTTCTGCACTTAAAACAAATCAAACTATATTCAGGGTTCCTACTCAAATTTTTGTTTTAAATTCCACGACTTTCTCTGACCAACTTTGTACAAATACCCTGACCCTCATGTCCTTACGGTATGGCACATTAACAAAATAAAACATCACCTGACTTACTACAAACATGCACTATTGCTTCGCCAACTTTTTACCTGGTTATTTTTTTCTAATTAACATTTATATATTTTTTTATGATTGATGAATTAGTAAAATTAAAAATAAAATAAGAAAAACAGAATTATGGCATGTCTTCTCTACATAAAACTAAAATGTTTTATTAAATAATAATTTATCCTGTTATTAACTTATAACTATGAAACTTCACGGCTTTGTAAAAAAAGAAAAAAGCTATTAATTATCAAAAACATTCAGTATAATCCATGTACAAAAGTATAAATTTATTAAATTTTCTAAACTTTATAAAATATTAATAAGCCAAGAAAAAGTTTCAGAAATCAGAAATTGTCTTGTTATGAGATCAATATTATTAAAATGAAAAATGATGAATACCATTTGAATTAATATTAAGTTATTTATCATTTTTAGTTCTTTATCATCATTTTTTCCCATAAGTTCATTAACAACTCTAAAATTGAAAGTGTAAATTGTAAGACATAGAAAGTTAAAATATTTTAAAATTTTTTATCAACATTAGATTATTAAGAATATTCAATTTTTCTCTCAAACTTATAATACTGCATAATTAATACAGCAATTTTAAAATTTAAAAATAACAATTGATATTATTGTATGCTTGTATATTTTGTGTGCTATAATTTTGGGGAAAATTTTGAATCCTGAAAATATTCTGCTTTCCCTTTTCATAAGTTGCATTGTACCACAATACTTCTTGCTGCCTGCAGACAGCTACACTTGGTCAGTCATGCAAAATCAACAAGGCAACCAAGGAAACGAATTCTCTGACTTTTTCGGAACACTAACGTAAATCCCCGACTGTCCAGGTGCGTTGGAACCCTGTATTTATTTATAAATATATTACAGATGATGCCGTACAGAAAGAAAAAATAAAAGTTAAGCCTATTTCAAAAACTTTAAAACATATATAATAATATTTACGAACTCTTGGGTAAATTTCTTTCGTAAAGTATTCAAATGCAGAATCTGTCGTTTCGTTATTTATTATTAAAATTTCTCTTTTATTATTGTTTCCCATTACGATATTCAGAATTTGCTGAACACTGCATAAAACATTACATTTGCCTCGATGTTTGACAACAACCAACCATAGTAAACCACGTCTATAACACTATACTTATGGAAGTCAAAATCATGTATAAACACAAAGTTTATGACATGGTTGATGCAAACACTGTGTTTATACATAATTTTGATTTCCATAAGTATAGTGTTATAGGTGTAGTCTAACCACAAAATACTGTATGACAAATTGTTTATAATTAGCGATTATGGCATTCATGGAAATTGGTCCACTCGCTCCACTCATGCGCCAAACTTCCATTCATGCCATAATTGCCTATATTATAAACTAATTGCATAATACACTATTAAAACCAGAAATAAGTAATAAAGCAACATCAAATTTGACGTTAAAATGATATTAACAGAAAATTATTGACAATCTTATATTTAATATTTTCATATTTACAGGGTTCCTACTCAAATTTTTGTTTTAAATTCCATGACTTTCCCTGACCAACTTTGTATAAATTTCCTGATTCTCACATCTCTTACAGTATGGCAATTTAACAAAATAAAACATTACTTGACTTACTATTAGTGTTGCCACCAGGCCTGTTTTCACCCGAACAAGCCGGTTTTTAAATTCAAGGTCTGGCTTAATTATTAATTTGTCTGGTTTTCTTAGAAATTGTGAAGTTATGATGAAACAAAATAAATTTATAAAAATATTTGCAAGTATTTTATTTTAACAGTTAAAGACTAACTTTATACCCCCACCCAAACTTATCCCTGGGCTAAGAGTAATAGAAAATGCACTTTTAAAATTCTAACTTGCAAATATCTCTGGTAAATATTAGGTTTGTTCAAACACAAGTTCTTAACTGGTTTAAAACTGGCATGTGCATTGTTCAGTTTTAGGCTGTAAAAAGGCATTGTGCATGTGTCATACGATTTCAAATTCAAACCAGTCAGAGACTTGTGTTGAAACAAACCTATTGTAAACTATATGTGACAGTTTAAGTTTATAATTTCTATTTTAATTATTTAATATGACAACTCAAGAAATTGAAAACCCAAAAGAGAGGAAGCAAACTTGTAAATTTGATAAATCACAATAAAAAAAAGCTAATTTTTTTATTTCTAAGTATGACATCTAATTTAAAAATGTCTGAATCAGAAATTTTGAAAAGGTGGCAATACTGCTTACTATGCACATACATTATTGCTTCTCCAAGTTTCTAACTGATTATTTTTCTAATTAACAGTCATATATTTTTTTATAATTGATGAATTAGTAAAATTAAAAATAAAATAAGAAAAACAGAATTATGGCATGTCTTCTCTACATAAAACTAAAATGTTTTATTAAATAATAATTTATCCTGTTATTAACTTATAACTATGAAACTTCACGGCTTTGTAAAAAAAGAAAAAAGCTATTAATTATCAAAAACATTCAGTATAATCCATGTACAAAAGTATAAATTTATTAAATTTTCTAAACTTTATAAAATATTAATAAGCCAAGAAAAAGTTTCAGAAATCAGAAATTGTCTTGTTATGAGATCAATATTATTAAAATGAAAAATGATGAATACCATTTGAATTAATATTAAGTTATTTATCATTTTTAGTTCTTTATCATCATTTTTTCCCATAAGTTCATTAACAACTCTAAAATTGAAAGTGTAAATTGTAAGACATAGAAAGTTAAAATATTTTAAAATTTTTTATCAACATTAGATTATTAAGAATATTCAATTTTTCTCTCAAACTTATAATACTGCATAATTAATACAGCAATTTTAAAATTTAAAAATAACAATTGATATTATTGTATGCTTGTATATTTTGTGTGCTATAATTTTGGGGAAAATTTTGAATCCTGAAAATATTCTGCTTTCCCTTTTCATAAGTTGCATTGTACCACAATACTTCTTGCTGCCTGCAGACAGCTACACTTGGTCAGTCATGCAAAATCAACAAGGCAACCAAGGAAACGAATTCTCCGACTTTTTCGGAACACTAACGTAAATCCCCGACTGTCCAGGTGCGTTGGAACCCTGTATTTATTTATAAATATATTACAGATGATGCCGTACAGAAAGAAAAAATAAAAGTTAAGCCTATTTCAAAAACTTTAAAACATATATAATAATATTTACGAACTCTTGGGTAAATTTCTTTCGTAAAGTATTCAAATGCAGAATCTGTCGTTTCGTTATTTATTATTAAAATTTCTCTTTTATTATTGTTTCCCATTACGATATTCAGAATTTGCTGAACACTGCATAAAACATTACATTTGCCTCGATGTTTGACAACAACCAACCATAGTAAACCACGTGTTCGTACATAAGAAATTGGCGCTGCTGTTATTTTAAAAATGTAACAATTTTACCATAATTTATAAAAATTATGATAATTATTCATATTTAATTCTCAAATAAATTAATAAAATTTATTTAAATTATAAAATTGAAAAAAATATTTAATTTTTAATATCATTTGAACATATGTCGCCATCTGTTATCAATTTTATAAGAAAAGTTTATTTATTTCCAAACGTTTCAGTAATAATAATATAATATTAATATCGGTGCGATTAAGATTTATTTTTAAATTATGATTTAAGATTTTTTAAAAACATTTTTAAACCTTTATAAAAATTCAAATTAAACTTATCGGCATTTAACGGGAATTGATAAGATAGAAATTCTGTGGTAAGAAAATTAAATATTTTATACTTTCGTATGTATTAACTAATTTAACATTAATAATGATAATAAATAGTTTTTAATGTAATATAAATTTAATGAATATAAACTTGGAAGTGAATGATTATAAATAAGTAGGAGTTACTTTTAGGTAAATGATGCGTATAACACGTATGAAGAAATTAACTAAAAGTAACTTCTTTGAAGGGTATATTTTTGTTTTATATTTTGACTGTTTCTAAAGGAAATTGAAATAATAAATGAAGTGTAACATTAAAATTGAATGATTATGAATAACAGTCGAAATATATAACATTTATTAGGGTATTTTGAAATATTGGATTATAATATTAAAATACAAAGTAATCGATTACAAAATTATGTGAAATTTCATATATATATATTTTTTTTTACTATTATTTTCGTTCTAAACTGAAATGTGAGAAAATTATCTGTTTTTAATAATGCTGAATGACAAATTCTTGTGTTGTCATTTCTCACTTCTCTTTCGTTATGATTAATTCTCAAGTTAATAAATAATTTATTATGTTGGTTCGAATTTAGGAGTTTTAAATAAAAAGATGTTTTTGAAACAATTGCTTTCAATGTAAGAGTTTAGGATTGGATTGATGGTGTAAGATGGTTCCTAAAGTGAGTGCTTCCATTCCAGGGGAGGTGAGTAAATCTAGGGTGGCAAAAAGAAACAATGGGGTGGTAATGGAGGCAGGACCGAATGGTGACCTTAAGCAAGGGTTCACTGACTTACTGATAACTTTTCCCTTTCTCTGTTAAAATGAGTAAGAAGAAACGTTGCATTTAATGGTTTTTGGATGTTGATGACAATATGTGGGAAGGATTCAAAGTATGAGGTTTGTATAAGAGTTTTGCTAAGAATATTTCCAAGCCTTTCTCACACAAGGAAAATTGGATCAGAGGCATTGGAGTATGGGTGGAGGTGTTGAGTATTGTGGCGACCTGTTGGTTGGAGTTGATCATGGGATTAGTACGGCCAGTCGCACCAGATTGGTGAGCTTTTGTGATGTCAATGTGAGCGACTCTCAAACTCCCTCTTCTTTTTCCTTGTCACAAGGTGAGAAAAGTGTACATGTTTTTGCTCCTGTGTAGTTGTTCTCTTGTCAAACAATAAAACTTCATCATTGTTGATATCTTGTGTGATTTTCTTGGATGACATCAATAGCAGTCTTGGATAGTGTCGCTACAAGTATAAGTTTATGGAATCAAGGGGACAGTGGCTCAAAAAAGTTTGGGAATCACAGGCAACACAAAACATGGGCAATGTGGTGAGGAGGCATTTTATGGAAAATTGGTCCCTATTTACATCTTATATACATGAAGAAATGTGTATACATGTGATTACATGTTGTTAGTTTATTGATAAGGCACAAACAGAAAACCAACTACCAGTATTCAGTGGTTATGAAAGTTAAGGTTATATTAATTAATTTTCATTTGTGATTTAAAAAAATAAAATAATAAAAAGCAAACTTTAAAAAATATGAGACAAAAGTGGTGGCTTTACATCTGCATCTCATTAGCTTTACCCTCTTCCTTGTCAAACTCAGCTGAATGTCAATCTCCTAATGTTTCATGCACTCAGAAGAGAAATGCTTCTAACTCCTTGTTTCAGATCTAAAACTTGGAAATCAGATACTGTCTCAGCTGCTTTGCAAAATGCACAAGCTCGCTATCAATAAAATTAATAATTGCTTCTTGTGGCTAGAAAGACTTTTGCAAGCCCAACAAATCATTTCTGTCAATAGTGAAGGACTTTCTAACTTGGTCACTGTGGCAGACAAAAATCTGCAAGATAACAGATCTCTCAAAACATTGTACCATACAATCCATTTCTGCAGATCACATCTGAAACAAACTGTCACAGCTGTCAACTGTCCTATGGCATCTCCAGGATCAGATTGCAGAGCTTTACTTGATGCTTAATGGAAACTCTTTCCCCATTATCAGTCTGACCCAGAAACTCTGGTTGTTGTTAAATTAAACTAAGCACTGCTCGCAGTGCTGCTAAACGATGCTGTTGAGAGCATTGCTAAACTCATTTTCTTGAAGCGCTGAGCGCAGCAATCTTTGCAGTGGTCTCACTGGTTCGAGGTTAAATCTGCAGCACTTGTTTTAGTTGCTTTTCTTGCTGCAACAAGATGGCTGCCTCCACGAGGAAAATGTGCCAAGTTGATTTCTTATATGACATGACAATAAAAGTATAAAGTTTTGATCACCTTGATTCGCTATTCTGTTTGTACTAATTTTTCTTTTAATATACTTATTAGTAAAATAAAATATTTGATAAAACTTTTATATTTAAAATGTTTTACTATCTACTTTATGCTGCAGAAAGAAGCTGCTTGCATTAAATTTAAATTGTTAATTTTACCTCTCAAACAAAGTCTTATATCACAAAAATGAATTACTTTAAAATTTTTTGAATTAAATAATTTGCAAAACATTTTAACAGATGCATTCAGATTTGCCATTTTAAAATTGCAGCACTACTCTGTAGCCTATGCATTGTTAAAACACCTTCAGCAGTGATTGCAGCGAAAGCAGCAAAGCTGAATTTAACAACAAGCCGACTGTCAACAGTTTGCCACTTGCCACTGCTCTTCCTCACTATTGTCAGGCTCTATCTAGGGGTTTGGTTGGTATCACTGAGATGACTACAACATATTTTATTCTTTTAGATTTACTACACTTTTGAGATATTGTGCTCTCAAGCATGGCTCTGTAGAGATTTTTGATTCATCCTCATTAGATAATTTTAAGCTTTTACAAAAGCATTCTTCAAACTATCATTTAATATTTGGTTGAGAGGACTCATCTTTTGTTATTTCCAAGGATCTCCCCACATATGAAGCATATCCTATGGAAATAATGATGATGAGTCATCTCAACCAGAAATTGAATAATAGTTTAAAGAATGTTTTTGTAAAGGCTCGGAATTATCTGAAGAGGATGAGCCAAAATTATTTTATTCTTTTTTCAGATAATTTAAATATTTTTAAAACAGTAACAGCAAAAGAAAAGCAATATAAGAATAATAGTTATTTGACCTGTTGTAATAAGCACGTGGTGAGGATTGAATTTTCACAAAGAGACGGGTATATAAAACAAATAGGACGTGCTTTATTTTTTTTTCTGTGAACATATACAAGAAAGATTCTTGTTGATTCCGACCTCCTGATTCCTTACTTCAAACAAAAGAACAAACACCTTTTTCGATTCACAGTCGAGAACTTTTCGCGATACAAAGAGATACTTAACTTCTAACTTAAACCTACTTATATCTAAAAAGAAAAAGAAAAAGGAAAAGAAAGTCAGATTAGAAGAGAGAAACAGAAATATATTTTTAGGAAGGAACGGGTACCCGAGTTGGTGATTGAGGTGGCGGCTGCTGGATGACTTCGTCTTGGGATTTTTCCTTTTGGGGACGGATCGCATGCGAGAATCGATAAAAAAATGTCCTTTATCTTTGGCTGACCAATGTCCTTATCAACGCTACTTCTTTCTTACATGCCCTTCGTGACTCTTTCAGTCGAAGCAACACTGACCTGGAGACCTCTCTCTGACAGTCTTCCCTCTTCCAGGTCCACAGCCAAAAGGTACTCACTTAGTCTCTCACTTGCCCTCTGGGCTATTTCTAATCCTTTGTCTCCTAATTAGGTTACCAACCACCCACACTTGGACGAAAGTTCCAGAAAGTATAGACAAAGGAACACAGAACAAAGAAAGAAGGAAAGATAGAAAATCATATATATACATATATATAAAAATGTAACAAAAATATATTGGTGTACCACCACAACATTTATGAATGATTCTGGAAGATACAGCTTATTTTTTGAATTTATTAAACCAGAAGAAGAACCCAGAAAGAGTTACAAAACCGTTTATTATTTATCACTTAGTGGTACTATGCATCGGTTAGTGATTGCAGTGACTCTTATTTATCATTATTCTGGTGTGGTAAGCAGATATCTAAAAATTTTCTAATTAGTTTCGGAAGAGGGGAGACCTAATTCTTGCACTCAATGAAAACGGGCAAGATCAGCTATAATCTAATAATCTTAATCTTTGCTATCGTTACTTTTTGTCCGAGCGATGCCAAGCTCATCTGCTAGTTTTATATATAACTAGCAGACCCCGTTTCGTGTTGTTGTGACTCAAAATGTATATTATAAATCGTTCTAGACTGCATACTGTAATATCAAAACACTTACTCAAACACCTTTTCTTGCAGCCGAAGTTTATAAGAGAAACTTTCTAACGTTTTCGGTCTTGTTAAAAGACCTTTCTCAAGAAAATAAATCAGATAAAACAACAAAATTGTAAATCAAACGCTTAGTACAGTTAACACGTTTTTCGAATCTTTTCGAACTATCCTTATAATCTGTTGCAAATGACGTCATTGTGAATTTAGCAATGGAAATATAAAAAGATTACATAAATATCTAAATATAAATACACATATTTACCCTCTCCCTACATCATTTAAAAATACGTAGCCTAAGATACATAGTAACTAGTTCCCTCAATTATTAAGTTTATATTAAACTAGAGGACCATGCTGCCGATATTTTTG